AAAGTTGGAGGGATCATAATACCAAATATCAAGTTATACTACAAAGCCACTGTACTCAAAACAGCCTGGTACTGACACCGGAGGCATATAGATCAATGGAACAGAACAGAGACCTCAGAAATTGACCCAAGCTATTACGCTCAATATTTGACAAAGGAAGCAAGAGCATACAATGGAGTCAAGACAGTCTCTTCAATAAATGGTGTTGAGAAAATTGGACAGATACTTGCAAAAAAAATAAAGCTAGACCACCAATTTACACCATACACAAAAGTCAGCTCAAAATAGATAAAAGATTTAAATGTAAGTCGTGAAACCATGAAAATCCCAGAAGAAACCATAGCAAAATCTCAGATATCTCTCGTAACAGTATGTTCCCAGAGACATCTCCTAGGGCTGTGGTCGGCAAACTGCGGCTCGCGAGCCACATGCGGCTCTTTGGCCCCTTGAGTGTGGCTCTTCCTAAGCCTTAGGAGTACCCTAATTAATAACAATGTACCTACCTATATAGTTTAAGTTTAAAAAATTTGGCTCTCAAAAGAAATTTCAATCGTACTGTTGACATTTTGCTCTGTTGACTAATGAATTTGCCGACCACTGCCCTAGGGCAAAGGAAACTAAGGAGAAAATAAATGGGACTATATCAAAATAAAAAGCTTTTGCACAGCAAAAGAAACCATCAACAAAGTGAAAAGGGAGCCCACTGTATGGGAGCACATATTTGGCAATGATACATCTGGTAAAAGGTTAATATCCAAAATATATAAGGAACTCATACAACTTAACAAAGGAAAGACAAACAATCCAATTTAAAAAATGGGCAAAAAACCTAAATAGACACTTCTCCAAAAAGGACATACAGATGGCCAAGAGACATGAAAAAATGCTCAAAGTCACTAATTATCAGAGAGATGCAAATCAAAACAACAATGAGGTATCACCTCACACCTGTCAAAATGGCTACCATCAACAAATCAACAAATGACCAGTGCTGGCAAGGATGTGGAGAAAAGGGAACCTTAGTATACTGCTGGTGGGAATGCAGACTGGTGTAGCCATTATGGAAAACAGTATGAAGTTTCCTAAAAAAATTAAATATGGAACTCCCATTAGACCCAGTGTTCCCACTTCTAGGAATATATCCTAAGAAACCTGAAACATCAATCAGAAAGAATATATGCACCCCTATATTCATAGCAGTGCAATCTACAATAGCTAAGATCTGGAAACAGCCCAAGTGTCCATCAGTAAATGAATGAATAAAAAAGCTCTGGTACATTTACACCACAGAATACTATGCAGCAGTACAAAAGAAGAATCTCTTACCCTTTGTAACATCATGGAAGGACCAGGTAAGTATTATACTAAGCAAAAAAAGCCAGTCAGAGAAAAACAAGTATCACATAATCTCACTCATATGTGGAATCTAATTAACAAAATGTGTTCACTAAAAAAATAATTAAGAAGAGCTTTTGAAGCTGCAAATTATCATCACTATCTATCCCCCTGGCTAAAGCAACCACTCTCTATCGTATAAGTGGTATACATGCAGTTCTTGAGAAGAAATGGCAACCCCTGTCAGCTTGAATTTGTCAGCTTTGAATTTGAAAATATGCTTCATCAAATGATCTACATCAGTGATTCTCAAACTGTGGTCCTTACCACCAGAGAACCTTTTAGAAATGCAAATTCTGGGGCCCCACCTCAGATCTATAAAATGAGCAACTCTGGGAGTTGGGCCTGTACCTGTACAGGCATTTCTCGATTTACTGCACTTCACTCCAGTGTGCTCTCTAGATTTTGTGTTTTTTAATAATTGAAGGCAAGACCCTCCCTCAACAAAAGAGAATTATGACGTGCTTTATTGCAGTGCTCTGGAAACAAACCTGCAATTATCTCCAAGGTATACTGGAAGTTTAGCCTTCGGGCGATTCCAATGCATGCTAAAGTTTGAGCACTGATTTACAAGAAACATAAAACTTTGATCCAAACATATTTTGATCTAAAAATAGTTTTAATAGACCTCAACTCTAAAGAACAGAATGAGAGCGTACACAGGATGGGACAAAATTGGGTTTGCAGTTGTTCATATGGAAAATAATACCATGATTAATAAATAATAATCCAAGAATAAACTCTGTTTCACGTATTCACAACTCTAAACCCACTTTTGCCTCACCCTGTATTGGCATTTTAAATCTCCAGCATTCTTAAATCATATAGGGCTTTGAACTTCTCTGAGTGATTACCTGTTGGCCTAAAACCGGTATTTTAAAAGACCGGGGAAAGAACATTAAAAGCATAAAGAGATCATATTTCTCCCCTCTTAAGTAACTGTGTATTACATTAGCATAGCCCTGGTAGAGAGAACAAAAGTTAGAGGGCAGTGCAGTGGCAGTGGAGTTACAGTTGTGTTCCCAGCTATGAAGTCAGCCTTTGTTTTCTTATTCCAGGTCAGGACCTCTGGAACAATGCTTCTTTGAGCAGGTGTATTAGGCTTTCACAGCACCAGTCAGATGTAAGGGGGTTGGGGGGCCGATAAAGCTTCATAAGTAGAAAATGCCATTCTCTTGAAACAGTGTATTCCTAATAGAAATAGTTTCATCCCTTAAAAAACGAAAGAAGAAAAAAAAAGCTGTGTAACATTTCAGAAGCAACAAAAAACTTAAGTTCATTATACAGAAATTATATGTTGGGGACAGAAAAAAAAAAGGGTAGTTTGTCAACACTAGTGAAATAGGGTTTTATAATATGTAATCACTTTAAACAATTTGATTATAAACTATACTCATTATATAAGACCAAAATACTACTATAATATGCTTTATTTGTTTTGAGATGTACTTACAGGCCATAGTCAAGTTTAGTGGTAAATATTATAATAGGGTCAATGGTACAGGATACAATTATAAGGACTCCTTATATTTTAGGACAGTTAGTCATAAAACAAAGGAAGAGGAGTCAAGAGTTTCTAAGAAGAGGACATACATGAGAAAGCTGGGAATTTGAATACATTACCAATGAGCAAAATTCAGTAAAGAAATCCTACACATAGGAGATTTTATCCAGAGACAACTTACAGTAACTATATTATAATTGCAAATAACAGATGAGTTTTCAAAAGCTTGATTACATCTTAATGAATTCTTAAAGACTTCCTTTAGTGCTGCTAGAGTTTTTCTACTGTGCAGCCTCTAACAGCAATAACGTGCTCTTTTTCTATGTGTGCTAAGTGGCTTGCTTGGAAGGACAGTAAATGATGTATTTAATATTAATTAGACCCATGCAGGAGTTTTCAGATCGGCTGTATTAGCAAATAATCCCACTGCAAATAATAAATCTTTTGCAAATAAGAATGAGGGTTGAGCAACCTTTCAGTTTTAGCAGTACCAGAACATCCTCATCTCCACAGTGCTACTTCCTACAGAATGAAATACACGGAAAGATCATCCTCTACTTCCTTCAATGAGGTTGGGAGCTCCAGCTGCTCAGAATAGGACCCCATACACCATTATTTCTGAAGCCGCCCTATGGCATAGACTCTTGCATATTAGAGTGTAACACCGGTGTTTTGTCTTGTTATACCTTTCCTCCAGAGCTAAATTTTCTTGGAAACTAAAGAAGTTTAAGTTTCAGGGCCCCTCATTTGTAGAGGCCCCCTTTTAAAAAAAGGTTCTGAAAGAGACTCTAGCAATGTTCTCACGGTCTTACGTTTTGGTAAAATTTGCAAAAGATATTTGAACTACAATTGATTGTAGAGTAGTCATTTTGCTGATTTCCCTCCTTTGACATCTCTCTCCTATCAGTTAGCATTGGAGCAGCAGTGGGCAAATTGCGGATCTGGCCTAAAGAAGGTGGAATGGGGATATGTTTAGATTTTGTTTTGATTTAGTGGGATGTATAAATGTGGCTTGTAGTCTTGTGCGTATGGTTAAGTTATTGCTAGCTGTCCTAGTAGAGAAAGGACATCCAGGAATACTCTTACTGTCTGCTGTACTAAATCACAGGGCCTGAAATCTTCATATAATGCATCCAATGGTGCCTAGCATCTGAAGTACGTGGGTGGTAAAGGAGAAACAGAGCCAGAAGCTGGTCTATGAAACTTTTCTGGGCTCTAAAAAAGACATATAAATGTATATATTAACTATTCTAGAGGAGTATACAAATCATCTTTTGATCACCTCTTTAGCGGATATTAGAAATCACTGTCACGTGAAATAATGATTAAAGACTAATGCAAAAATGTAGGAACAAAACATCTTAGAGTATATCAGTTAATTAGTAAAAACACTTCTTTTCCTAGACTTTGTGATTTTTGTTATATTTGTCACCCCAATTTATAATTTGTTGTGATTTCTTATTCCATTCTAAATAAATATTCATTGTGTATCTAACATTTAAAATTTTATATTCTTTTTCTTAAAAGAAGTTCCGCCAAACTGAGTAACTCTAAAACCTCTCAAAAATGTGGATCTTCATCTAAAAGGATTTGATGTCTTTCCTGCACAGTAGTTATGGTAGTTTTATTTTTAACCCCTTTTTTTCTCAATAAATGCAAGAAAAATCTAATATCAAGGAAAGAAAGAAGAAAAGAAGTAAGGGAAAGAAGGGAAGAAAAGGACCCTGTTTATGGGGGGTAGGGGGTGGGTGTGTCTCATATGAGGCAGTGAATCAGATCTTGGAGTCAGACACAGGCAAACCTGGAGTTAAACTCTAGTGCCATCATTTATGAGCTGTGTACCACGTTCTCTCACCCCTTTAAACCTCAGTTCTTTCATCCCCAAAGTGAGGATAATACCACCAATGAAGATTAAATGACAATGTATGTAAAAATCCTTGCCAAGTGCCTCACACAGATAAGGCATTGAATAAAACTTTAAAATGCCTTATTCTTGAATGTATAATCCAAATTGTATTTCTTAAAATAGCCTTACTAATATGCTCCCTAAAGGATGAACAGCAAATAAATAATTTCAGCATCCTTCCTGCTCTCTTCACAGTAAATTGGGAGCAGTGCAGCATATGTGGAAAGTTCATTTCTTTTTCTGTGAAGGCATGGAACTGTCTGTACCAGGTGAGAAAATATGTCATCTTCCATTCTGAACAAAAGTTAGCAAATAAAATGTTGCTGACAGACTGTCTAACAAGTGGAATAGGATAGCAAATTTGAGAATCTACGTAACAAGTTATACTGAAGTTCTCACACACACACACACACAAAAAGGGGTGTGTGTGTTACATTTGAGTTAATAGGCTCATTTCAAAGACAAAGGTTTAGGTATTCATGCATTTACTGACTCTCATGTTTCCAAGGCATCTGAGAACAGTAGATTAGGAAAGTTTAGAAGCAGATAACAGGATTAGAAATAGCTCAGAAGTCAACTCAGGGTTCAGGTGTCTCCCAGGCATGTCTAACACTTCACAGCTGTGATAATATGGGCAAGAAGGCTGGAACACCTTCAGAAGGGACCATGATAAGCAGCAAACTGTCAGCATTAAATGCAGGAAAAAAGAGCTGTAGGCACAAGAGGGTGATATAAAACAAACAAACAAACAAAAACCCAGTAGTTAAAAATGCCACAAAATAACCTGAAATGTCTCAGTGTCCCTATTCATCAATGACCGCATAAGTATACATAGTTGTCTATCCTTATGTATACGGGTAGTTCAGTGGCCAATCAGGCTCAGAAAAGCTAGTTACTGGTGCATAAAGCTTTTCACCTGAGGTGTTCTCTTCCTCTTTATTTCCCTTCCTTGATGGAAATGTTTAACCAAATCGCCAAAGACATTTGAATCTGTCTTCTTTGACCTTAGATTCCAGAGCAACATGCTCAGATTGTGGAGTATTTACCACTAACCAGATAAAACAAATGACTTCTAACTGATGCACCTGGGCCCTCTCTTTGTTCCTAAGGTGTCTCAATTACCCATCCTTTGTATTGCCCACTGCACTAGAATCTTCGGCTTGGAAGGAGCCTGATATTGCATTTAATCTTCTTTATTATGAAGCAGAAACCATCCCCTGAGATGGGTCACATACCCTGCCCTCTGCAAAAGGTGGCCCATTCCTTTACCTCTCGTTTTTAGAAAGCCTATCCTTATTGTTATATCACAACCTCTCCCTGCGTTCTGCCTATTAGTTGTAGTTATTTCCCCTGGAACATCCCAAATGGACCTCCATGTTCTTCTACAGATTAGCCCTGTGGGTCTTATGAAACACACAAACAAACACATACACAGAAACAATCACGTCTTAAGTCTCTTCCTCACTGAGCCTAACACCCAGATTCTTTCAAGCACTGCTGTCTCGGGGTAGCATTTGTTAACCCCCCAACACCCAACACCACCCCCCCACACACATACACACACCCTTCTTCCACTTCTCACTGTTTCCCTGCTCATTTCTGGCCAAGATCTTTGTTACAGTTGTCCCCTCAATATCCTCCTTTAGTTAATATCTTACTCTTCCTTCAATCTTAACTCAATATTAAGTCCCTTAGGGCAGCCTTTCTGACTTTCCCACTTTAGTCCTATCTTCCATTATATGCTTTGAAGGCATCTCATAACTCTCCTTTGCTATACCTATCCCAGCAGCGATTTTGCATTTATTTGTGGGGCTGAGGCCAGTATGTCCTATATGACTAGCAAAGTACGCATTGAATGGAAAGCACCGGATACATACAAATTTGTATAATTGGTTCTTGGGGCGTTGGGTGGAGGGGAAGAGTAGCTCCCCAAAGAACCAATTCCACATGACTTGTTTTTTAGAGACTTTATAAAATGGATAACTTCGGTATACTCTCAAGATATAACCAATTCACTTTAAGGAGCTAAAAACTCAACATTTCTTAAACCAAGCTGGAGTGAAATTTTCATCATTTTACCTAGAGACTAAAGCCTGCATTAACAACTCAAAATTCTAGGTAATGTTCTAAATCTCAACATAGCTTTTTTTTATTTGGTGGGGGGGGAGGCATAGATGGAGTTGTTGATTTTTATATTGTTATTCAGAGAAGGTGTAAGAGCCAAAATGAAGAACTAAGTCTCTAAGGTTCAAATTAAAGTCAAAGGTTTATTTAACAACCCAACTTTGAGATTAGCATTCCATTAAGAAACAAAGCAAGAAATAAAAATCCAGGGATCCTGTTTGAACCAGAAAGCTTTTCTTAAGCCACTGAAGAGAAACTTTAGAACCGCCTCAAAACAAAATTTAGCTCTAATCCTTAATTAAATTATAGCTACTGCACATGCTCCCTAGCCCCCAAAACCACTCTCCTCATTTCAAGCAAATTAATCAGAGCAGCTCTTGAGCCAGATATGCCTGCTGACTATAGTATGTGGTTTTCACCTCCAATAATAAACACTTGAGTACAGCTCTTTCTGCTCATTGACACTATAAGCATAACAGAGTGGCTACACTATACCTAATTCATTGTTACATCATCAGTACTATAAAAATGCTCCTCACACAATATATAGGGAAAAAAACTTGCTTAATAATTGAAGAAATTAAGGAATTCCACAGAACAAGATGACAGGTGACAGATTCTTTTTCTGCATTCAGTCCTGTCCAGGTCAACATTTGTGTCCATATTTACACAAGGACATCAATGGTAACATGATTGCATAGTCAGATAATAAGAATATAGAGACATAGCAAAAATTTGTGTGGATTAACTTTGTGGGAACATATTATACCAGTTCAAGGGCCTAATCTATAATAATAAAAGGGTAATATGCTAATAGACCGGACGTCATTCCTGACGTTTTTCCTGATCCAGCTGGGGCCGGAGGGAAGCCAGCCCTGGTCCTGGGTGTCTCTGCCAGAGGCCGGAAAAGGGAAGCCCAGGTCTCTGGGGCCAGAAGGAAGTCAGTGCCGGCAGCCGGAGGAAGGAAGGCCTACTCTTGCAGGAATTTTCATGCATCAGGCCTCTAGTTCATACATATATGTGTGTGAATATATATATTTTACATGCACCCTGGCACCAAAAACCACTCTCCTCATTTTAAGCAGATTCACTGTTAAACTGTCAAGACATAACAGGTCCGCTCTTAGATGGTATTTCTTGTTCAGAAAGAAGTCTTTCTATTCAAAAGAGCAAGGCACCCTCACCGATCCCTCATCTGTGGGACACAGGAAGAAGAGATCCAAGTTGATGAGGCTACTGCAGGGCAATATAAGTTGAGGGACAAGAGCTCCAAATAGAAGGCTCTTCTGTGCCTCAGTCTTTCCCCAAGCTTTTTAAATTTTAAAATTTATCTTTATTTATTTAAATTTTTACTTTTAACACTATTGCAGATGTTCCCCAAGGAGGGTTGCCTGAAGATCAACTTGTCAATAATAAATAAACTCCCAAGTTTCCCCTTTTGAGCTTTTGTGTTAATCGATGGACCTGAGGAGGAGCAGGTTTGGAGAACAGAGCTTGTGAGTTCTCTTTGGACACATGCAAGTCTCCAACATCCACAAGACATGCAGATGGAGATGTCAAATAGGCAGTTTGGTATACAAAGCTAACATGGGCCACAGTCAGGCTACAGTTCTGCCCAGAAGTGGAAAAAATTCTCCTTCCTTAGTGTCCTACTTGGTAACCCGAGCCTCAGAGAAAGCTATTGGGACTCCAGTACCCAAGAGAATATTGCCTGCAAGTCCTGTTTATTCCCCACAAGCTCAGACGTCAACATCTGAGCCAGACTCTGGCTGTTCTGATCCAACCAAGATAAACTAGCTGCAATCATATACCCTTTGACTGTGTTCCATATACCTACCCAGACTCACCTGAGAACCCATTTAGGCTTGGTGCCCCCAACCATCACCACTACCACTAAAACAGCATTTGACTGATACTGTTCAAACATGTTCATCAAATTTTCCCAACCTTCAGTACCTCTAGTTAATGACCTTAACCTTCTACCTGGTTAGGAACTTGGCTTTGTGAAAGGCCTGCTATCATAGAGTTTAGTGATGCAAAGGATGAGATATTTGTTCTCAGTTTGATAAATAGCCTGTCCACCCATTGATTGGCACATTGCAATAGGAATGACAACAAAAACTATCAAACCAACCAGCTCTGAGGTCAAACCTTTGTGTCTGTATGACACCAAGTGCAAGGGGTGTTTAAAAACATTAAAGAAAAACTTTAAACAAAAAAGTATAATGTGGACAAGGTGAGTATAACAATGACCATGACGGGGATGTGTGGGAACTCTACAGGTCTAGTCAAGAAATGGGTAGAGCCTGGCCGGTGTTGCTCAATGGTTGAGCATTGACCTATGAGGTCACAGTTCGATTCCCAGTTAGGACATACCCAGGTTGTGGGTTCAATCCCCAGTATGGGGCGTGTAGGAGGCAGCTGATCAATGACTCTCATCATTGATATTTCTCTCTCTCCCTCGACATTCCTCTCTAAAGTCAATAAAAATATTTTTTAGAAAAAGAAAAAACTGGGTAGAGGCAAGAAAGGAGGCGTTCCATAGGCAATTGGCCTGTGGTGCAGGTCTCTCCTATATCATCCTATGCCAGGTGTCCAGGTGGGCCTGAGGGGACAAAGAATAAGATACCACCCAGCATCATGTGTGTATGGGCTGTATGTTTGTGAACATGTAACCAAATGGCTTACTACATACCATATGATAAAGGGCCTTATTAGAAGCAGACAGAACATCGTATGCTTCACTCTTCCCAACAGAATTGGAGAAAGCTTTTTCATGAGCTCATTGAAGCTGAGTCTTGAAGGATGTGGGCAAGGTGTAAGTAAAGGAAGGAATTCTAGGCGAGAGGGAGGAATATATCTGAATGCACAGAAGTGGAGCAGCAGATGGTGTGTCTGGGATCATTTTCTCTAAAGTGTGTGGAACATAACACTGGTGGGAGCAATGATGAATTAGGCGAAGATTTTAAGTGGCATGCAGACACTACACTAAATAACAATGAAGTACTTGGAACTGAGAAAGATATCCATCTTGTAATTCCCTTCTATCCTTGCCCAGGAGAATCTCTCAGTTGGTTAGCAGGATGCTAATCTCTTAAAAGCTAATCTTCCTACTTAACAAAATGGAGCAGGTTTCAGGCTTAGA